GGATTCACATGCAGCATATCCGCGACGTCTCGATTGCTGTACCAGTTCAGTTCGCTTCCCTAAGTTGATAACGGTTATGAAAAGTTGCCGGCGACGAAAAGCACCAATCTACCGCATCGACTGCCCTCAATTCAGATAAGTCCGGCTCGCTACGTAACGTAACTGAGACCAACACACGGGACTTGTTCACATGCTCCAAAACGATACCTTCACAGCCGTAAAAATCTGGGTTCAACACAAATACGGTAGACCCGCAAGGAAACATCTGCGACAAGCTTGTGTATCGTAGCGACACTTGATCCACCAATAAGTTCTGAAGGTAACAGACTCAGGCAATTAAAAAAGCGAACACAGTCATACCCTGACTACAATTTGTGAAGGAAACGCCATGGCAGTTTCGCCCCATATCATTCGACTAGCGATCTCGCCTTCGGCCGAAACTTCATACCTCAAATAAACGTTCAAAGCAATCCGAAAGTCGTACCCATGCATACACATGCCTCTTTCCGATCAAAGGCTGGCAGTACAACAGAACAGAGACGCCCTTGATAACGATCGCCCTGGTAGAGTAGAGCCTAATGTTTTCTTAGAATTACGAAATTACTCAACATTACATCGTCAATTTACGAGCGCGTAATCCTTCGCGTTTCTTCCTCCCAGGTATCGACATTCATCGCCTGGCTTTCTAGCTGACACGCTTTGTTTGAGACAAAACTAAAAATTATTCGCAATGACTGGAAGCGTATGGCGAAATGAACAGCGTTTACTTACCATCTGTTCTCTGAACATATCTTCACACAGAGTGCAGCTTTCAGATGCGGCCAGTTGACGTACAACACTTCCCCAAGATACTTCTTAGCCATACTTTCAACCTAAAGAATACATATCAAATAACAATATATCTAGTAGAAATTTGGGTTTACAAAAAAAGTGAATTTTCACTGGTGTTGAGAAACGAAACAAGTGCAAATTAATCGAGTTTAGGCGGCAAAATCGCACCCATTCTTTTCTTCTATAGGCCTAGGAACTCGTCTGAGCAAGCTACGATCATGCAATATATTAAATATTATAAATTTATCAGTCAGTCAGTTTCGTACGCTAATTGTCTTTTCAAATTGCAGGAGCAGTAGGAACAGGCAATTTTAGCAACGTTCACAATCTTGAGCTAATGACTAAATGTTGGCAATATACCGTGAGTCTGGAAAAAAAACTCCTTGGTGCATGGTCTGCAAGTAATTCTGAGCCTTGTCTGCAGTCTT